CCATCTACTCTCGCCTTTCCACCGTCTTCTCTCCAATCTCCTAAGGAACCAGTCAGACCGGAAAGTGTTGCATTTCGAGTTCGTACAAAATTCGAAAAGTGGTAAATTTAAACGACGCACAAGTTGGGCCAAGAGCCCACAACTCTCACTGCAGGATTAGCTCAGGCCAGCTATGATCTAAACACCATAATTTCAAACTATTTGTGTCGTACCACTACATATTTGCTGTAACAATAATCTGTAAACCTTACATTTACTAAACTTAATGCTGTGTATATCATTAAAATTTGAAACCCCCACCAAAGTCTTACGGCCGTAACCCTCCTGTAGGGCTACTAGTTTTCCAAATTTTTATATTCTCTGCAAACGTGAGGGTATCACCGTTCAGAATCTTAATGCAGTGGTTTACATGAGGGCGGAACAGAATAGGGCCTGAGGCTAAGCCTTACAGAATACCACTTTTTACTGGTACCCATTCGGATTCTGCGCTACCAACAACTACTTTTCACAGTCTGCATGGGAGGAAAAGTTTAAGCAATTTAAAAACGTTACCTTCGATACCATATTGCAAAATCTTATTAAAGAGCCGCCGATGACGCACGATAGCAGGTCGAGGCGTGGTGCCGAAACTGGTAACGCCACGGGTCTGACCATGCTCTCGTTCGCACGCGCCTGGAGGTTCACTTCTAATCTGCGCCCAGAATGCCACATACGAGACGCCTTGATGTCACAAGGCTCTGGCAACCCAGAGCTGCAGAGGCCCTAAGCACAGAAATCCGGTCGAGTCTTTCTATCCAATCTGACAGCGAAGCAAGTAGCAAGTGGTCATCACTGAAGACATCCGTCTATGGGGCAGCTGAGGAAATTCTCGGATTCACTCAGCGGCGCCTGCAGCTGTCGGCCCAGACGACTCGATCCATGTCCCGCAACGGTGCTTCCTTCCGCCAACTTCGAGAGCTGACAGCTAAGTGGGCTAGAGATGACCGGCAGAAGTATTGGTCCGAAACGGCGACTTCTATGGAGCAGGCTTCTAATGTTGGTGACACTCGAAAATTTACCAAATCATCCGCCAAATTAGTGGTAAGCCCCGACACTTTGATTCTGTTCGCGATGTGAATGGAGGCTTTATTGCTCACAACTCGGCCAACGTCGATCGCTGGTGCGAAAAATTTGAGCACCTCTTCCACTTTCATGAGCAACCCATCACACCCTCCATCTCCCCCACAGTGGATTTTCAACCCTCTCCAGCCTGCGCAGTGTCGTGTGACCTCCCTTCCGAAGACGAAGTTACTGACGTAATGCAGAGGCTGCGCAATAACAAGGCATGCGGAGAGGACGGTATTCCTGCGGAAATCTACAAGTCCTGTGT